GAGGAGCGCTGGGCCCTCTTTACTTTCCCCAGAGCCCACCCTGCAGGAGCGAGGGCGTCCAGGATTTCCCCACCCCACCCCCGGCGAGTCCTGCAGTGAGCGAGGAAGGAACCAGGGTCAGGAGATGCAGCGGGAAGCATCGCTTTATTCCCAGGAGAGGCTGGGCGCCCAGCCCAGTGCAGGGGCGGCCAGGAGGGGGTGGGGAGGAGGCAACGAAGCGGTCTCCCCGCCGCTGGCTCAGGCGGAGCAGATGAAGGGCAGACGCTTTCTGCATGGTCGTCGTCGCCATTTACCCCCTAGCACAGAGAGCACAGTGATGTCAGCCGCCTGTCAGAGTGCGGCCGTGCCCCCCCTTGTCTTCCTCAGGCACCTCATATGTCTCCTTTTGCCTGTCACCAATTGTCATGATATGTTTGCCACACATCCCCACCAGCTCGTGGGTGTTGAGCTTTCACCCCGGGAAGGCAGCGTGCTGAATGCTTTCGGTGGGCCCCTAGTTAATCCTCACAGTGACTCCCAGGGGGAGGGGCTGCCAACCTCCCCATTGCACAGATGAGGAGCCTGAGGCTCGGGGGGCAAGCGCCTGCCTGTATGTCAGCAGGCGAGTGGCAGAGCCGGGGTGAGACTGTGGCAGCCTTACTCCAGCACGTGAGGCCTTAGCCACAGTCCCGAGCTCCCTCACGGCTGCACTCACGCTGTGAGCCGCTCCTAATCCCACGTCTCTCCTCAAGCCCTCACCAATACCTTTCATTCACATAGGCTACTCTCATTTGTCACATCACTCGCTTCCTCACAGCAGAGGAAGGCAAGGAGCCCCCAGACCCCCAGCTGAGCTTTGCCTGTGAGGATGGAGAGCCCCCATCCAGCCCACACATAGGGCACCCCCTCGCCCTACATCTCAGCCCTCCCCACAGACAGGACATTGGTTCTCCAGTTGAGGGGAGGCTGTGAGTTTGGGGAGGCGTGTTCAGGCAGCTCAAAGGGACAGTCTGTAAGAGTCTACCTCGCCATCCCTTCCCTTTGCCCTGGTGCCCAGTCGCCCTCACCTCTGGTGCATAGGGTCACACATCTGCCGCGCCCAGCCCAAGGGTGCCCTCGGGCCCAGTTTTTAAAATTTATGCAGCTCCCATCAGTCCAGCGTAATTTCCGGCCCTGGAACAAGAGAAGTGATAGGTTGGGTCAGAAGCTGAGGTGCGGGAAGACAGACAGATTCAGAGGTTCCAGAAAACGCCCACAGAACCTCTCTTCTGACTCCAGTGGTTTGCTGGTAAATGTTTAACAACCAGCTCTGGGGGAAGGCGAGAAGGCAGAAGGTGGGAGGAACCCTGATTTGTAACAATTGCCAATTTCCTTGGTGTAAATACACCAGCCATGGCAGATTTCATGCTACAAACATGAAGTCACTGAACATGGAGTTGGGAAGAGAAGCACACAATCACCGGTTCTCTTTAGCCAGCACGAGCCAGCTCCCCCGCTGCCTCCCACACTAAGGTCGCTTGGCGTTTGGAACAAGGTCTGACGCCAGCAGGTGCTCCCTCGAGGGAATCAGCGAGAACGTCCTGTACCTGGGAGTTGGCCCCTCACTTACACAGCGCCCGAGGAAGCCTCCGGTCCAGACCTGGGGCCGATTGATTCTACTAGCCAAGACCTGGAGTTGACTGTTGATATGGGCGTTGTGGATGGAGACGAGGTTGCCTCTGTAGCACCACCTGCAGACTATCTGCAGAAGGAAGAGGTCGGGTAGAGAAGTCAGTTTTCTCTCAAGTCCCTGAGCCTTGTCAGGTCAGAAATCAGGGATCTACTTGCCCCCTTAATCCCATCTCTTGTTCCTTTATCTGTCATAAGGAACTTCTTGCAGGAAATAATAATAGCACTCAGAATAATCTTAGCCACCATTTACTGAGAGTTTACAATGACCCCGGGACTACTCCAAATGCTTTCTATGTATTATCTCATTTAACCATCATTGCAACCCTAGGAGGCTGGTACTATGCATCTCCATTGTACAAGTGAAGATCCCAAAGCTCTGAAATGTGGAGTGACTTGCCCAGGTAACACAGCCAATGACAGGTGGAGCCCTGGTTTGACACAGGTGTGTCTAATACCAAAGCCTTTTGTTCAAGTCAGTGATTCTAAAAGGACTGTCTCCAGACCAACATCATCACCACCTGGCACTTTGTTATAAATGCAAACTCTTGGGCCCCACCCCAGACTTGCAAAATCAGAAATCTGTTTTAACAAGACTTCTAGGAGACTCTGCTGCACACTAGGGTTTGAGAACCACTAGTCTAAATGAAGAGGGAGCAGGAGATTGAATCCACTCCCTTCTCCTGCCCCTGGTCCTGCTTTCACAGCAGCCTCTCTGCCACTTACGTTAGCGGACCAAAACACTCTGGGGCTGTTCACCAACACGTAGCGGCAGGTCTTGCACCCAGGGCTGCCCAGAACTTCAACCGTGTCCTCTGCCCTAGGGCACTGAAAGTTCTTGTCTAGGGCACTTGGGTCCGACTCCATGATCTTCTCATCCTCAAGGGCATTTTGACAGAGGGACTCCTCCATCTGCTCTTCTTCGGATTGAATCTCCTCCTCAGGCAAGAATGACTCTCCCTCTTGCTCCCCTGAACCTTCCAGATCTTGGCTCAGGTCTGCTTGTGTCTCCTGGCTGTCCAGATGGGGGGCATGTTTCCCTGGAAAGAGGAGTTAGCCTGTTATCAGGTCAGGCGCTCCCTTTTTCCAGGACCATGGACAGCTGACACCACCCTCAAGCCTTCCTAGAGCAGCTGTCTGGAGCCTAGACCCCCAGGGATCTCCGCGGTGTCGGTGTTGGGTGAGGGGAAAATTCACACACGGGGATGAGACCCTGGCGCTGGCTGATGTGTGTGTTTCGGGGCCCGGGGGAAGCACCTCTGAGAAGGCGGGTGGTGTTTGCTTGTGAAGGGGCCCAGAGAGAACGTTCAGGCCACAGTCCTGAGTCCAGGGGAGATCTTCCCCAAGAAGAGCTGGGCCAACTGAAGAAGGAAAGCTGTGACCCTGGCTCCAAGAGAGCCAAAGAGGTGCAGGAAAGAGGGGAAAAGATAAAGCTGGATGAGACGAGAAGGGGGGACTTACCCAGATGGAGAGCAGCAACTGTCCCCAGCAGGAGAAAGGGCAGAAGCAGGGAGTGCTTCATATCCACTTGGCCTTGTGACAGGGACACAGCTCCACCTTTCCTCCTTGGGGGTGTCCTGTGTTTCTGCGCAAGCCCTGTCACATAACAGAGATGCAATGTTTGTTTAACTAGTTGATTAAAGGGCAAACTAGAGAGCTGCCTTCTCCCTCGATGAACAGACCCTGACCTGGAGAGTCAGGAAAAGTCCCTTTTACCTGAGCACTCCATCACTGACCCCTGGGACAGCACTTGGCCCAGACCCTTGTCCCTGCAGGAACAGGTCTGCTCAGGGTCAGGACCGATTTCACTCACACAGGGGAAGGAGGGGAAGGACAGGGGCAATATGGTCCTAGAGAGAGGCCTCCCGGGTGTTTGCTATATAGGCGTTGGCTTCCTCCCAAGCCTTGGACCCCTCGACCGTGGGCATCTGGGGGAGCACTCACCTCCCAAGAGTCTGTGGCCTCCACTCTCTGTGGTTCTGGCTGCTGGGCCCCAGAAGCAGCCCTTATACTGGGCTTTTGGGGAAGTGGGAAGAGACCAGGATGATTGCCCCAGGCTGGGGTGCCAGGCAGTGGAGCTGATAATCAGACATTTGCTCAATTCTCTCACCTGCTCCCTGCTGGGACTGCAGGGACCTGCCTCCTGGAGCCTACTGACACACATGGTCTCCAACCCCCCGGAGTGCTGGGGAGGACGCCAGATGTCTACTGCCCAGGCATACTTACTATTAGCACCCCTAAAGTGCCCCCATCTTAAACCCAGGAGAGGCCTTCCTCTGGCCAATGTCCCAGTCAGTGAAATGGAGGGTCCCAGGATGTTGGGGGACCACGAGGAGAGGGGGGAGAGGTGAAGGGGGCCTCACCTCCTGAGTGCTGGTCTAGACCAGGGACTTTATGTGCGTCGCATTCCAGACGCCTCACCTCCACCTCATCCCCATGAGAATGCATGACGGCCCTCACATCACAGGCATGGAAAATGGGATTCAGAGAGGGCAAGCCACTTGCCCAGTTTGCACAGGAAGTGGGGGACCTGGGATTTCTAAATCTGTTTGGCTCCCAAACCTCCCCTTTCTCGCTCTCCCTCCCTCCCCCTGCACCCTCCCTCCCTCTCTCTCTCTACTTGCCCCTCTTCTTCATCTTTAATGTGGGGAAAACTTATGCTCTTTCTTCTATACTGTGGATCTAGATCAAGGTTCTCAACCTTTTCACTATTACTATTTAGAGTCAAATAAGTCTCTGTTGGAGGAGGGGCTGCCCTGTGCATTGTGGAAAGTTTAGCAGCATCTCTGGTCTCTACCCACTGGATGTCAGGAGCACCTGCACCAGTCTACCTGATTGTCCCCCAAAGACTATCATAAACGTCTCCACATGTTTCCAAATGTCCTCTGGGGAGCAAAGGTGCCCCCATTGAGGATCACTGGTCTAGAATATGCCATTTTGTCCAACCTCAAGGCATATCTTCGGGCAAAGAGGTGACAGCTGCAATGGAAAGCTTCATACAGAATCCTTCAGTCACCCTGTGGGCCAACCTCCTCTCCCCACCCCCACTCCCCACCTCCCATCACCCTCTGTCACCACCAGGGTCAGAACTAGGGGCAGTGAGGGAGGCACTCGCCTTAAGTGTAAAAGTTCAGGGGGAGGCACTAAAGAATTCAGTAGTCAAGATAAGTAATACTTTAATGCAATCTTTCTTGAAAATCAAAATAAATGCAAAAACATCTGTGACAAACAACGTGTCAAAACTTTAATCAACCAAGCTCCAGCCAAATCCACTGCAGTCCAAAGAGAGGCCAGCAAGTGTTGAGTCTTTGACATTGTTGGCTATCCCTGGCAGGAGCTAGTGGCCCTGGCAGGGTGGGTGACAGACTCTGTGATCTTCTCACTGGGCAGTCATATTTCTTCCCCAGACCCCAGCCCAGCCCTCCAGGGCTCAGGGCACCAGGGACAGGTAGCCCAGAGGGTGAAAAGGCCTGGATTCCTACCCTTCCTCTCCTCTCTCAGGGGACCTACAAATAGAGAAGTTTCTGAGAGGTCATCTCTGCGCCTGATTGCGGAGTAACCGTCTTGGCTGTTATCTCCCTGTTCCAACGGACCAGACCCTCCGGTTATCTACCTGACATGGGTGGTGATAGTTGGGGGACTGGCCAATTTTGGGGCCCAAAAACCTGGTCTTGGGTTTAAAGCTGGAGATCCGCCAGGTGGGGGAGGGGTGGACAGATGCCTCCCGCATTGTCCTCCCTCCAGGAGCCCAGGCCAGGGGCATCATATCACTTGCTGGTTGGGATGGTCAGCTGCTCCCAAGAGCCAGCCCTACAATGAGATTTACACACACTTTTGTTTGAAAAGCCCTGTGTTCGCCCAGCCTGGCGTGGCTCAGCGGTTGAGCATCGACCTAGGATCCAGGAGATCGGGGTTCGATTCCCGGTCAGGGCACATGCCCGGGTTGCAGGCTAGGCAGCCAATCAATGACTCTCTCATCATTGATGTTTCTATCTCTCTCTCTCCCCCTCCTTTCCTCTCTGTGAAATCAATAAAGATATGTTTGGAAGGAAGGAAGGAAGGAAGGAAGGAAGGAAGAAAGGAAGAAAGAAAGAAAGAAAGAAAGAAAGAAAGAAAGAAAGAAAGAAAGAAAGAAAGAAAGAAAGAAAGAAAGAAAGAAAGAAAGAAAGAAGAAAGAAAGAAAGAAAGAAAGAAAGAAAGAAAGAAAGAAAGAAAGAAAGAAAGAAAGAAAGAAAGAAAGAAAGAAGAAAGAAAGAAAGAAAGAAAGAAAGAAAGAAAGAAAGAAAGAAAGAAAGAAAGAAAGAAAGAAAGAAAGAAAGAAGAAAGAAAGAAAGAAAGAAAGAAAGAAAGAAAGAAAGAAAGAAAGAAAGAAAGAAAGAAAGAAAGAAAGAAAGAAGAAAGAAAGAAAGAAAGAAAGAAAGAAAGAAAGAAAGAAAGAAAGAAAGAAAGAAAGAAAGAAAGAAAGAAAGAAGAAAGAAAGAAAGAAAGAAAGAAAGAAAGAAAGAAAGAAAGAAAGAAAGAAAGAAAGAAAGAAAGAAAGAAAGAAGAAAGAAAGAAAGAAAGAAAGAAAGAAAGAAAGAAAGAAAGAAAGAAAGAAAGAAAGAAAGAAAGAAAGAAAGAAGAAAGAAAGAAAGAAAGAAAGAAAGAAAGAAAGAAAGAAAGAAAGAAAGGAAGGAAGGAAGGAAGGAAGGAAGGAAGGAAGGAAGGAAGGAAGGAAGGAAGGAAGGAAGGAAGAAAGAAAGAAAGAAAGAAAGAAAGAAAGAAAGAAAGAAAGAAAGAAAGAAAGAAAGAAAGAAAGAAAGAAAGAAAGAAAAGCTGTGTATTATAGTTGAGGAGATGGTACCTCAGAGACCTTGAACAAGGTGCCCAAGGTCACACAGCAAGTCAGAGACAGGCCTAAACGCAGGTCTTCCAGCTTCTTGCCCCCCGCCCCCCGCCCATGGCAGCCTGTCCTCTGCCTCCTTTCACTCACTCCCTTTCTCTATGGCCTGCCTCTTCCCCCATCTTCTTTGCACCCAAACCCCAGCCAAACATATTCCAATGGTTTCAATGACCACAGTGATGTCTGATTTAAAACTGAAAATAACATTTTTGAAAGTCCACCACAGACCAAACTCTAGGCCACATGAAGGCTCTGACATCCATTACCCCACTTAATCTTTACTCTCATCCTGTGAATTGGGGATTGCCACCTCTAGTCTACATGCCTACCACAGAAGCTCGGAGAGCGTAAATGACTTGCCCAAGTTCATACAACTAGAAAGGAGTGGCACGTCTGACTCCCATGTCCTTGCGTCTTGGATACCCCTAAACAGACTACATGACTCCCAGTCTGTCCAATGATGCCGGCGTTTCCAGCATCGGTGAAACTCCACCTGCCTGGCTCACTGTTTGCTTTTATGTTCCTAGGGGTTTCCCTCTCTGCCTCTTGTCTCGGCCCCACGTCGAGCAGCGATGCGGTGCAATGAAGGAGAAGCAGCGCAGCGTGACGCAAATGAATGGCTCGTCCCAGAGCCAGCCCCTCCAAGTCTCAGCTTTCTTGCCTGTGAACTGAGGCTAATGACGGATCCTACCTCTGATCGGCTCCAGTGACGTTCTCAGGACCGTGACTGGCACCTGGGGCTGGGGTGGCCCTGTCAGGAAGCCAGGACCGGAGCTGGGGCCCAGGTCCACAAATAAACGCTGGGTTCGCTCGCGCTCCCGCTCTGCGCTGGCCCGGCGTCAGGAACCCCAGGGATTCCGCTGTGAAGATGGAGCTTAGTTCCAGAACTTAGCACCTCGTTGGAGAGGGGGAAAGCCCATACTCAGGGATGTAAGGCCGGTCCCCTTATTTCATTAGTTTTACACTTTTTAAACTTTTCTTGTGGACATATAATATGCATCCGGTAAAGTAGATGGGCTGCTCAGGGAATTTTTACAGAATGAATGCACCCACATAACCGTGCCCAGATCGAGACACAGAATGTTACCCAGATGCCTCCTTCGTGCCTCTTTCTTTCTTTTTCTTTTAGATTTTTAATTGATTTTTAGAGAGAGAAGAAGGGAGAGAGAGAAACATCGATGTGAGAGCAAATCATCTATCTGCTGCCTCCTGCCCGTGTTCTGACCAGGAACCAAGCCTGCCACCCAGGCGTGTGCCCTGACCCGGAATCGAACCAGCAACCTTTTGGTGCAGGGAACGACTCCCAACCAACTGAGCCACACAGGCCAGGGCCGTACCCCCTTTTGACATTAATGCCCCAAAGGGGATCCTTACGGACTGGAAGTCACACTTCTGTCACAACACCTTCCCCCCGCAGCAGTAGGTTTATGAGGGACAAGGCAAAGTCCACCCACCACTTAGCACAGAGCCGGGCACCCTGTAAATGCTTGATAGATGGGAGTTTTTATTGCTTTTTATTATGAATATTTGAATAAAGGGAAGCAATGCCTCCCCACACCAAGATATGAAGTCCCTGAGGGCAAGGGGGCCGCTGTACTCAGCCTCGCCCTGCACAGCACCCAGCACAGGGCGTACCCCAGCTCTGGTTTCAGAACCCCACCGTCTGAAACCAGCGGCTT